CACGAACCGAAAATTTTAAAGGACCCTTAAAATAGGCGATACATATTTAGAGATATTTTAGTTGTCACCTACCTATAAGGGACACGTAATAGTACAAGTAAGGGGTCAGTTGTAATTCCCCACGATTAGTAAACACGGCCACAAAGGTCTTAGTACTCAATTCAGCTGTCAAAATATAACTGATTAGAGACGTTATATTAGCCATTATTATATTGATCAACAGACCATAAGCTACACTAGCGCCTCTAGTGGCGCGAAAATCATTGAAAAACGGTAAAAAATGAAAGAACAAAAAATAAATGCGAGATAGCAAACAGAGGAACGAAAATTCTATCAAAATTCATTATTATAATTTATATCAAAACAAAGTTTTTAACATTATAATAATTATATTATAATAAAACTACCTTAATGATAAATTTTAACTAAATATTGCGTGTTTCAATTACAAGTTATTATAGTTACACGGCAACGCATCAAGCTATGCTAAACCAGTATAAAATGATACTCGAATCAGGGGAAAGATCCCACAAAACTAGACCATGATATATTGGTTGCAATAACAGGTATAAAATGACACTCGAATTAGGAGAAAAATCCCACAAAACTAGACCATGATATATTGGTTACAATAACCAGTATAAAATGACACTCGAATCTGGGGAGAGATCCCACAAAACTAGACCACGATATATTGGTACCTTATAACCAGTATAAAATGACTATCGACTCTTGGGAAAGATCCCACAAAACTAGACCATGATATATTGGTTACAATAACCAGTATAAAATGACACTCGAATCTGGGGAGAGATCCCACAAAACTAGATCATGATATATTGGTACCTAATAACCAGTATAAAATGACACTCGAATCTGGGGAGATCCCACAAAACTAGACCACGATATATTGGTTTTGCATACTTCCATATGTAGCCGTGTTTTCATACTAAAATTAATACAAATCATTCGAGAGATTGTGTGTATATAAAAATATACATAAATAATATTATTGTATTTGAGAGCCTTAGTGTGATAGAAAAAAAAAACACTTTCTATCTCACTCACACTTAGTAGGTGTGAGTGAGAGGCTACGTTAAGATTTTATTGATAAAAAAATGCAATTTAAATAACACAATTTCTTGTAGGCAAAAGTAAATATTATATAAAACGCACTTTTCACTATTTATTTTATGAGTCCCGTGTAATAGGGGTGAAGTCCCAATATCCGATTTCAAACTAAATCATTTTATAATACAATATGTAAAAATACATAATAATAAAGAGAAAATATAATTCAAACATTTTATATTCCGTCTCAACTGTACAAAGTATAATATCATAACGTTTTACCCTAAAAGGGTAGACAGAGATGTACATACAGGGGTGTAACCAGAACGCTCTCGAAAACGCTATCAAACAAAAATTATTATTAATAATAAAAAAATTAATCGTTTTTGTTTACGTGTTACGTGTACGTACACAAAACAAGCACGGCTCCAACCCAGCAATGAAGTTGTTATTTAAATATGAACTTTAAATTGTATGTCGTATGATATACTTCACAATGTCATTACAAAAAGCAGGCGGCAGGTGGTCAACGAGCGGCTGGCGGTAGGCAAATACGAACCAACGCCGCGCCGGAGCCATGCTTCTTAGACGTGCGACGACCTTCATTCATGCAACATCAGTCGTGGGCTGATGGTTATAACTATTATTACTTGAAAGAACATTTCATTCCTTTTTTAAGGGGGGAAAATCATCGAATGACTGCTCCCGCCTGGGTGAGACGGAAGGGAGTGTCAGACTCTTATTGACTAAAAACCACCCCGTTCCTTCTCCTGCAAGTCGAGCCGGAGCCCCGGTTACCCGTTAGGTTCTCCGCGACTTTTTTATGGGGTAAGCCGGTAAACGAGCAGACGGATCACCTGATGGTATGCAATCAGCGTCGCCCATGGACACCTGAAACACCAGAGGCGTTACAAGTGTGTTACCGGCCTGAGAATTGTGGGGGGTCGAGGATTGGGGAGACTGGGGAGGAGGGTAATTGGGCCTCCCTTACTTTATAATAGGATAAGTCTGTAAACGAGCAGACGGATTACTTGATGGTATGCAATCGGCGTCGCTCATAGACACCTGGAACACCAGAGGCGTTACAAGTACGTTGCCGGCCTTTTGAGGATTAGGAATTGGAAGATTGTTGGGATTCAGGGATTGGGGAGGGATATGATAATAAAACTTGTTGTTGACCATCACCTGTAGTTGTTTTTCTGGAGCGTTTCGTTTACACCCTGTATTTAATGTAACATACACTTTTCACCGATGTCATGATATTACCTCAACAAACTCATTTCATAACACACTCCATGTCCTAAATTAACCTTTAAATACATACAAATAAAAAAACTCCCAATAAATTAACCACTGGCAACAAAAAACTATGTATTGCCAGCACACAAAAAAAATCTACCAACGCGGAAAAATACTACCAATTGGTAGTTTCTTCAGTCACTCATTTAAAGCAAATACATGATCGTGTATTTAATAATTAAATTAATTCTATTGACTAATTAATATGGGTATATGGAAAAAATGTCTTTTATTTAATCTAGGATATAAGCAGTCTATGATAATATCACTTAACTCAAAGATATGGCAACACTAAATGTAATGGCAAGGTGATAGTATAGTCGTGGTAAACTCGATTATTTTGAAAAGCTATTTTTTGTATGTAAAACAGGCAGAAGTAGAAGTCGGTTGTGAATAAATGACAATAATAATGTGTTTTACAATAATTATTATTAGTTGGTAATAGGGATATCAAACACCAAACGTTAGGTTAGGTTAATTAAAGAAATTCAATAACTAAATCAAAATAACCGAGTTTTTACATCACATAGCAGTGCTCATCTCAAAAACAAAGCAAGTTTATACAAATAAAATCCATTTAAAATTATTTTGAACGATTCTGTACCTTATTTCCACATACATAAAGACGAAATATTAGCAAAATGCAATACAGCTTCATTAGTCATTTATAAAAGAAATATTAAATTCAAAATTACTAGACAAAATTATTATAAATACAACAATACAATAAATAATACACCTTTATACCACAGAAATAAGGCTTAAAATCGTTTGAATCGCATAAAATAACATTCCAATAAAAATAGGGTATTTCCAAGATTTTATACAAGTCAATACGTGAAAGTTTCATAGCCCTACAAAACGTTCGACTATTCTGTCACCTCAAAATTGATTAAAAATAAAACAAAATATTCGAAAATAATATCCCAAACATGACATGTCACACAGAAAATAGAAAATCTAACTTCAGTTATATGATTTTAAAGTTCAAATTCATTTGTCTTTTGTTACAAGTATCAAAACCTATTTTCTTGTAACATAATCAATAAAAAATAAAACAAGGTTTAAAAATAAAAGATTACAACCTCTTTTCTTCTGTCCTCATCGATATGTTCAGCCTTATGTACACTACATACATTTTATATTTATCATAACGATAATAATTGAAAAATACTTAATTTAAAGCTAACAATAATTTTACCATTAGGGGGAAATTTTTCTACCAATTTTCTTGTATTTATTTCATATGGCAACACTGTTGTATAGTCATTCGATTTTTAAATTAAAACGAGATTCATTGTTCGATTAATAGGATTGGACGAAATTAAAAAATACATTTTGACTACACAACACAAGTGGACTACACATGTGACGTTTGTCGAGTCTTAAAAGACGACTTTTACGTAAAAATGGTCAAATTAAAAACCTTATTGACTGGACAATCTCTTTACATGAGCTGCTGTTTACATGTGAACATTAACTCATGACGATACCTAAGTACGTGAGTCGCCTGGACAGTCACCGCTACCATCAGGTGATGGGACAATCTCTTTATATGTGTCATTGTTTATATTCTAAACCAAGGTTTAAGATTCAAAATCCGCAAAGTCGTTTTTAAAAACTTAATAATCTAAAAGCTGTTTCAATTTATTAATTTATGTATAAAAATCTATTGTATACAAGATTATATTTAGTTATGTATACGAAATTTTACATATATTTTATAGATTTGCATCGAAAATGTATCTGTCAAATGTTTTGATAAATATTCGGGCACAATTGTATAACATGTGAAGCGCTTCGCATCAAGCTTCCTTGTGCGTACTGCTAAAGAGGGGAATTCTTTGCTAGAATCTGTGTTTCCTGAAGGGTATAAGTTGGTCGTCTTCAAAGCCCGAGTGAATAGGTTGCTTATGGGACGACGTACTCTATCGTAGACCGCATCGTCGCATCATCATCAAACGTCGGCCCATCAAATACTTATATATAAAAAATCCATTCTATTTATTACTGAGAATTTAGCTTTATTGGACCCGGGATTAGTTCCCAAGACCGTTTGTAATTCGTTCTAGAATACCCTTTCAATAATCTGTACTTAACTTGAGACCTCAACGTCAATAGTCCCTCTTCAAACCACTGAATAAAACGTACTCCTATATTTTCAAACATATTCCTAATTATCAGACCATTTTGACAGTACAATGTTCATGTCAAACTAATCAATGTCACATGTGTAGTTATCAGTTAATAATCTATGGCAAGAAGTGACGTGGATGTCAAAATATGACACTTTTGTAAGTCAAGGACTTTAAGATGAATAGAGGTTGAAAATTTCATAAATACCAATATTATTATAATATGAAGGGACATTCAATAATATCTTGTTCATCATCATCATCGGCTGTAACTACCATTGTTGGACAAAGGCCTCTTCTCATACAGAGAAGGAATTAGCATCACTACGCTTGTTCAATACTCGAAACCTGGTAAGCACCAATGTGACTTTTTCCGAGTTATACTATGTACTTTCTAAGATGTTTAGACACCATTGACAAGCGGTGAAGGGCAACATCGTGAGGAAACCTGGGCTTATTATTTCTGATTATAAGTTTGAAATCGCCAACCCGCATTGAGCAAGCGTGGTCAATAATGCTCAAAACTTCTCTGTGTGAGAAGAGGCCTTTGGTCAGCAGTGGCCACTTATATGCTGATGATTTACTAAACTTTACGATATAATCAACCTCTACCAAATCCCAAGGCCCAATCAATGTATCGATTATGGCACATCACTAACAATCGATTACAAAATCGATTCCCATCCACGCACTAAGCTTATATACAATCTATCAGGAGTTACATCCAGACAAATGATTTTTTATATTTATATAAATTCAATGTGTCTTTCCATTGCTATTAGTTTTATTGCTGTTCTTTTATCGATATCGATGTTTAAATGTATCGATATGTATAGCTGCTCTAGCTAGAAATTTTTGACGTCAAAAATGTTCTCGCTTGATAATATGTAACTTTGTTATTGCGACATTCTAGAACAGGGACATCGTGAATTCTAGAATTATTGTCTAGCAGTGGAATATGGGCCGCATTGTCAAGGGCTGTTGATATTTTGATGTCAATGTCAAAGCTTGTACGACTTTGTTTTACCTTAACGAGACCCCGTTCGGCTGTCTGATTGGCCGGCGTTAATGATCTCAACCAACCAAAACGCTGAACGCGACGTGACTAAGCCCTGTTCTCTAAAGAGGTAGATGGAGGTCTTCATTAATCTTTCATTCCCACTTAATACATCTTTCCCCAATAATCCAACGTCATTTTGAAAATAACAAAGTTGCATATCACCTTTTTACTAAGTCGGTTTATTAGTGACATAACAATTAAATCAGTCATGAATACTTTGGTACGTCCACATGGCAAGTTCTTTCCTACATAAGTTTAGGTTTCATATCAAAAAAGTATTTTATACCTACTCTCTTTTTGTAACAGTCGGTTAAAAGGATCGACTTTTCATGACCTATTATTTTTCAAATAGGTAGGTACAAATGTATAATACTCTCATTTTTCACAGCTTGGTCTTTTGTGGATGACTCTAATGCCAATGGCTGGTGACTTTGTTCACTTTAGGCAATTCCATTCAGTGATACGCATCACTAATATCAGTCTATGGGCGAGTCCAAACACCAGCCACCTAAACTAATAGACGCTCTATACCATTTTTAATACAAAACCCAACTCTAGTCGTTTTTATCGATATTTTGTCATGGCAACCCTAAAAGATCAGTGTTGCCGTCGTTAATAATATAATTATGTAAAGATAACTTTACAATAATGCTGAAAATCCCTGAAATTAATCGAGTCCATGGGACTCAGTGTACCTGGAAAATGGAAAATGAACACATAAAAAATATTGCTTACCGTTTACTGATAATAGTGTAACCAATCAATCAGTCAGTCAGTCAGTCAGTCAGTCAGTCAGTCAGTCAGTCAGTCAGTCAGTCAGTCAGTCAGTCAGTCAGTCAGTCAGTCCTTTGTCTTGATTCGATGTCTTTGAATACGGCACTGATTTAAAATGAGCATAGACAGATACTTAATTAAAAATGGCTTCGAATGTTAAAAAATGGAGAACCGTTTTTAATTTTTTGTTGAATACGTGATATTGGGCATAAAATTAAAAATGTCATTGTGTAGAATTGTCATTGAATTAGATTAACTCATCGAAAAAACAAACTGTATGAGTGACAAATGCCGGAATACTGAAACGTTACTCAATTTGAAGTCGTGCTCAAATATCGTGCCATCTCTGTCATTTCACAAAAAATTTGTGGAGACAGAACTATACTTAAGCGCGACTTAAAATTGATTAGCGTTTGAGTATTCCGACAAGTCAGTCAGACAGACAGTAGTTAGTTAGTCAGTCAGTGAGCGAGTGAGTGAGTGAGTCAGTCAGTAAGTGAGGGAGTGAGTGAGTCAGTAAGTGAGGGAGTGAGTGAGTGAGTGAGTCAGTCAAGAGAATTGTATTGATTATAAAGCTAGTTGAAGTAGGTACAGTACCTAATGCCTGGCGGCGGCGGCGGCGGCGGCGGCGAGGGCGAGCGCGGCGCAGAGCACGGCGGAGGCGGGCGCGCTCGCCTCGCCCGCGCCGCGCAGCACCGCGCCGCCCACGTACGTCACGGACAGGACCAGCCCGTGCGCCGTGCATCTGGCCACGAGTGCAATATTAAAACTAATAACAACTTAGGAATAGGAGCTCGCTACGTCACGCCTAAGAAAAAATATATAAAAGTGATCTCATGAGATAATTCCAATCTAAACCATTATAATCGAAAGATTTTGTTTGTGTAAGAAAAGAAATAATACGAGTCAAATGTTCGCAATCAATCAATATACCAAACGAACATCACACTAATATTATAAATGTGAAAGTTTCTTTGTATAGATGTTTGTCCGTCAATCACGCTGAAAGAATACAGGTATACAGCACGGTATGGGCTGACTTAGGTGATAGGATACTTTTTAACCCGATTAAATTCTCCCATGGGATAAAACAGGAATCACAGTCTACGCGGACGAAGTCGTGGGCAAGAGCTAGTGAAAAATAACATAAATACATAACATCACGCCTTTTATCCCCGAAGGGGTAGGCAGAGGTGCACATTATGCCACTGTATAATGTAACACCCACTTTTCACTATTTATGTTATGAATCCCATGTAATAGGTGGCGAGCCTATTGCCATATACCGGGCACAATTCCAGACTCCGTGCAACTACTGAGATTTTTTTTAAAAACCCAGTAATACTTTGCCCGACCCGGGAATCGAACCCGAGACCCCTTGCCCGACAGTCGCGCTTGCGACCACTCGGCCAACGAGGCAGTGAAAAATAAATGGTTTATTATCCAAATTATATTATTTATGAGCTAATCTTCGGCTCGAATAATATACCGGCTTAACTCAAGGCTTGCGTTGTGTCTTTTTGCGTATGCCAAGTTACCGGAAAGCCCAATCCGCCCGCGCCCAAATCCAAACCCCTAAAGACTAAAAATATTGTATGTACATCAAGATTAAGAGTGTGTGAGATCAAATATCAGATCGATCCGTCGTCAGGAAGGTGGTAAAATTCTAATTAGTAATTTTTACTGCAATAAACAAACGGGACAAGCTGAATAAACCCATTTCATAATACATAATAAAATAAAGTCAACTTCACGACTTACCTCAAATTATGTGGATAAGAATCCACGACGCTAACTCCCACGGAGTAAAATATCAGCGTTATGAAGAATCGGTAGACTGCTTCTACGACGTATAGCGCTGTCTCACTCTGCGCTATGTAGACTAAGGGAGACAGCAATATGCACGCTCCACACATCGCCACTGGAAGGACAGGAGGATAGTTATTAAATTACCTTTTTAAAGTATGAAAATTAAAAATATATTTTTCAATCGGTCAGTGACGTAATGAAACAATTTATTTTTGCTGTACACGAAAACAATACTTAGATAAAACGAATCAAAGTGTACGACCACTCCTAGCTCTCATGTAGCTACGTCAGTTGTACGTAAAAACGTCCCTAGGAGTGACAAAACAAACAATACGTGTCTAATGTTTTGAAATGATCTACCAGACGGACATTAAAATAAAAGTTAACCATCTACCTTATATTTCATACATTTCCGATAACATGTACTTACCGACAGGCCGTAAATTCTGAGGCATAAAAGCGACGAATGTAACAAGAAACATGGCGTGCGCCACGTAGCTCTGTTCAGTAGTCATCCCCCCCAGCTTGGACGTGAGGTCTGCATGGCGGGCGCATCCCCCCTGCATCCCCCGCACTACCGTATTGTTGAATATACACCACTTGTCGAACTCTCTCTCTACTTCCATGTCCGTGTCTATTATTCTGTAAAAGAAGATAATAATAATATTTCAATTATAAAAATAAAAAACACATATTGCCCACTTCTCATGCAAGAAAGCGCGAGCAAGTACCAATGTGACTTTTTCCGAGTTATATGTACTTTCTAAGATTATTTAGACACCACTGACAAACGGTGAAGGAAAACATCGTGAGGAAACCTGGGCTTATAATTTCTGATTATATAGGTTTGAAATCGCGAGCAATCGTGGTGATTAATGCTCAAATCTTATCAATGTGAGAAGAGGTCTTTGCTCGACAGTTGCCACTTATGGATGTTGATGTGATGTGAGTAACATAATTGTCTTACTAACATTATTAATACGAAAGTTCATGTGTATATATATTTGCGACTCAATAACAGCAGAACGACTGAAGGAATCAGAATGAAATTTGGAACCGGCGTAGATTATGGTCAGACAGAGTTAGCACCATATTTTAGCACAGATAAAAAATTTAAAATTTAGTAGCCTTTCAGTATTCGGGCGATAGGTTACTTTTTACCCCATGAAACCACTGACAAGGGCTAGTATCTACTTATATGAAACTAGCTACTTTCGCGCCGTTGCACCCTCTCTGCTCGGCTCCTATTGATCGTAGAGTGATGTTTTATAGCTTATAGCCATCCTTGATAAATGGACTATCCAAAACAAAAAGAATCATTGAAATCAGACCAGTAGTTCCGGAGATTAGCGCGTTAAAACAAACAAACAAACAAACTCTTCAGTTTTATATAGTAGTATATAAGATGGGTGGCTCGTTGAGTACCGTCATTATAGACACAATTATAGAACAATAGGTTGCGGTCACCTGTCACCGCTTGGTGTTTGACAGTTCAATAATGATATACTCACGTGCTGTTGACAAACAGACATCCCTCGAAGGTAGTGAACGACGTCTTCAGGTTGGAGAGCGCGACGTTATAGAAGGAACAGTTCCTGAACGCCACGTGTGATATCAGCATGTCCCGTATAATGCATTTATTGAACGTGACATTGTAGTATTCTATGTTCTCTAGCGTTGTATTGTAATGTATGTCCGTAAGGGTCTCGTTCCCTATGCTTTGCTTTGAGGCCTCGTAGAGGTCGCTTTCCATTTTCACCACCGTTGCTGGTATGTAGGAGGCTAGGTAGTACTGTGGACAATTGGGGAATTGAATTAAACTTATCTAAATTAAAGCGGCTCTCTCTACATTCTGCGATAAGTGTCAGCCATGCTTCAGCACGAATGGGTTGGCTCGACAGGAATGATACCACGGTCTCACAGAAAACCGACGTGAAGCAACGCTGGCGTTGTGTTTCGTCGTGTAAGTGAGGTCACCGGAGGCCTAATTACCCCCTCCCCTTCCCCAATCCAATCCTTCCTAATCCCCAAAAGGTCGGTAAGGTATTTGTAATGCCTCGAGGTGTCCATGGGCGACGCCGATTGCTTACCATCAGGTGATAAATTATAATGGCGTGGACGAACTCTGAGGTTCTAAATTTTATTGAAATGTACAGAAAGGACATTTTACAATACACTATATTGGCGCAATACGTTGGCCTAATGTGTAGAGCCGCCTTTATGTCTAGTTAGACAGTGTCAACTTACGGTAGTTGCCGTACTCATATTAAATTATTTGAAATAAAATACAACTTTACACAATCAATATAACTTGATGTTAGGAAATTCTGTGATAAAGTCGAAAATGTTGCTGTTCAGTGTCGTGAATTACATTAACATTAATTTTTTTTTAAGTTTTCATATAAATTGTAATCTAGAACGTACCTGTATCGCCATAGCGAAGAGTAAGGTCCCTCCGAGTGAGAGTGTGGTCCTCCGATACGTACTCGAGAATAATTGGAAGAATGACTGCCAGAACTAGAAGGGGAGATAAACACAGGTGAATACTTTGTTACATCTTACTTAATACTATAGATGCGAGTTTGTTGGTGACTCAATCAGGTCAGAACGACTGAAGGGATTGGTATGAAATTTGGTACAGAGCTAGATTATGGTCCGGGACAACACAAAGAGTGCTTCTTATTCCACAGGAATGAACCGAAATCGTTGGCAGAAGCCTGAAGTAAGTTGTAAAGTCTTCGAACCGGTCCATCTAGACGTCACTGATTCATTTCGTTGCGGGAACGAAGGCAGTTATTCATGTTTCGACGCGCCGGAATTCAGTGTTGCGGTTATTTTTTATACTTGGTAGGTCGACGTCTAGCCTGGCGATGATGTGGCCGACGATGGAGCACGCCTACCTAAGAGCAACCTGTTCACTCGGGACTTGAAGACACCCAAGTTATTTATTGGGAATCATATTTCGGCAAGGAGTTAGGGGGAGTGTTTTCATGGTTATATCTACTGTGGATCCTGGTTTACAGGAGACGCAGTGGTTATGGTATGCTGTAGGGTTATGTCCCCTGTGGATGTCTATGCTGATGATTGGACTAGGCTCACCATCTTGACGCTATGGCGGACGTGATGCAGCGCGGGCGGCCTGCGCTTGGCCGGCAGCGCGAGTTCCCCGAGCCGGTACTCGGCGGCCGGCCGGAACTTGTTGCTACTGTGGATACTCTGCCACGGGGAAACAAGATAGTATTAGTTCAAGCTGAAAGTATAATAACATGTAATAGGGGTGAGCCTATTGCCATATACCGGGCACAATTCCATTTTTTATAAAACCCAGTAATACTTTGCCCGACCCGGGATTCGAACCCGAGACTTCTTGCCCGGCAGTCGCACTTGAGACCACTCGGCCAATGATCAGTTAATTCTCAATAAATTGCAAGTTAAATATACAGTTTATAAACTAGGTTAAATAAACAATAGTCACCTGGTACACCATCATGGCGTCGACCTCTCTCCCGACATCGAGTAGATACCGCGGCGACTCCTGCGTCCAGATCAGGCTCACTAGTGAAGCCAGGATCGGGATCGTGCAGAGGAGGAGGTATCTGGACGGACATACATTTTGTAATTATGATACGGTAAGCTCAATTAGTTTTTATACTCTGTTGTCTAATGATAAGTTTAAATCCTACGATGGAGCAGACCCGACCCACAAAACATAGATCTACGTCTACAGACATAGACTCACGTCTAAAGACATAGATTACATCTACAGACATAGATCTACATCTACAGACATAGATTTACATTTACATCTATGTCTATGACCAGCACCCTGCACGCGTTGTTATATTGTACACGGAGACCTGGTGGCCCGCCAGTGTAACTGATCCACAGGTTGCATCTATCGTCTTTTAATGGACTATTTAACACGAATGTAACTATTCAATCGTTTTCGGAGATTCGCGTTCTAACTAATAACGAAACTTTTCAACTTTATATAATGGAAATAATTTAAGATTGCTTATAATGGCTAATTGTAAGTTGAGCAGGCGACGTAAGATATAGTAAGTTGAATGTATCAGTATATAGATGGCAGTACAGACCGATGCCACGCACTGAAGTGCTCCTTGTTCTCGATGAGCGTGTGCGCGCCGGTCTGCGGCAGCACGGCGGCGGCGAGCGCGGCGGCGGCCGCCCCGCCCGCGCCCGCCATGCGCCCGCCGCCGCCGCCAGCGCGCCCAGCGCCGCGCCGCGCCGCGCGCGCCACCACAGCTCGCCGCAGTACGTGTACGACGTCGGCACTATGCCGCCGGACCCCAGCGACGAACAGAATCTGTAATAGTGTGATACATTCAGTCAAAGAAGTATCGGGAATGGATGATTTGTTTATGGTTCCAATAAAATTTTTATTTTTGTAGTTTTTCATTTTGGCGCGGAGTTTAAGTTGCATATGTTATTTATATTAAATACACTGCTGGTTTTAGTAATATCATAATATAGTGTATCATTTCGGTATGAACATGTTGCTGCTCGGCTAGTCCCAAAAGATGTCAATTTTCTCCAAAAATTCAATCGCTTGAAAGTCGTTGAGGACATGCTAGGACGAGTCAGTTCGGATCCAACATTCATGAAACGCATTGTTACTGGTGACGAGACGTGGGTTTACGAGTTTGACATGCACACTAGTCAACAAGCTTCGAAGTGGCGCCTTCCAACTGAACCGAAACCGAAAAAATCACGCCAAAGTCGATCAAAAGTCAAAGTCATGTTGACTGTTTTCTTTGACTATCGCGGAGTTGTGCACTCTGAATTCTTACCGGAAGGTTTAACGGTAAATAAAGAATATTATTTGAGCGTTAGGCGGCATTTAAGAAAGCAAATTCGACGAAGTAGGCCAGAATTGTGGAAAGAAAATTCTTGGATTTTGCACCACGACAATGGGCCTTCGCACAAGGCTATCATTGTGAACGAATTTTTGACATGTGTCTTATGTATTCCTATTATTTTCCTTAAAATTATTTTTCGTTGCTTCCGTCCGTGCGTCACTGCAGGGGTGCCAACTGAAAACCAGTGTTGGGTACTTATCGTGCCCAGCTTTTTTTTTAAGGGGGGAAAATCATCGATTGACTGCTCCCGCCTGGGTGAGGCGGGAGGGAGTGTCAGACTGACTGACTGACTAAAAACCACCCCGTTCCTTCTCCTGCACGTCGAGCCGGAGCCCCGGTTACCCGTTAGGTTCTCCACGACAACTGTGCCCAGCTTAGACTGAGTTGGCGAGCCCTTTCGTCGTGGACATGCTGCCACCCTGTTGTTCTTTTATTTTGCTTTTTTATAATGTTGTGTGTGTGGGAGAGCCATGCTTCGGCACGTATGAGCCGATTCGACCGGAGTGATACCACGGCCTCATAGAAAACCGACGTGAAGCAACGCTTGCGTAGTGTTTCGTCGTGTGAGTGAGGTTACCGGAGGCCCAATTACGCTCCCCTTCCCCAATCTCCACATCCCCATTTCCTGAATCCCCAACGATCCTCAAACTCCTAAGCCCCAAAATGCCGGTAGCGCACTTGTAACGCCTCTGGTGTTCCAGGTGTCCAGGGGCGATGCAGATTGCTTACCATCAGGTGATCCGTCTGCTCGTATACCGGTATGGCATAAGCATGCCATAAAAAAAATGATTTTTTGCCTTCATTGTTTTTTTACTGCTGTTTTTTTTGTTATTCTATGTTCTTATTATTTTCTTTTTGTTTTTTAATTTTATTTTGTGTGTTCATATTCGGTGGACCATGTCTGGTGGCGAATGAATTATTTTTCTTTCTTTCTTCTTTCTCTAGTTACGCCACTGACCCAGTAAAACTCGAATTGCAGTTACTTAAAGTAATTGTATCTGCAAAATTGTAATAACCAAAGGCTCAAAATTTTTAAGGTATCATGTCTACTATCTGACAGTAACTAGAGGTCCAACAATAAACATCCCATCATCATCATTGACAATGATAAAAAAAGTTATAATTAAAATTGAATAGACTGACCCAAATCTTGTTGAGAAAACTGTACCACGCAATAAATTAAGGATAATTACCAGAGGCTCAACTGCTCCACCCCCTTCCCCAATTTCGGAATCCCCAACATTCCTCAAATGTGAGGCTGGTACGGTACTTTAATTGATTACAATATGTATATAAGGTCTAACAAAAATAGTGCACAATATTTTAACAGGTGATATAGTACATGATAAGGATTATGTTTACGTAAAAAAAAAATGTAAACAAGAACATGTTTAATTAAATTTAGCATCACATTTACAAAATTGTTGTTGTGTTTTTACGCATAACGCCAGCCGTATGGATGCGCGCGGACGTTTATCTTACCGGTCAACGACCGAGCTTTTCGAATAGGTACATAGGAATAGGTACATATTGCAGGATGGCATAAAAAGCAATGAAAATAATAAATGAATAATTGAATTATTAAAAATAATTGATAAGTTTTTATAAAATATTTTCATAAAAAAATGATGTTTATCACATACTAATTGACCTACTAAAATATTGTGCACTATTTTTGTTACACCTTATATAT